AATTACGAGGGCTGCTATATATATTCCTGAGCTAATAATGAAAATGCGAATATTTATCAACAAAAATTGTTTATTGTTTTTCAAAGTATTCTCCAGCCTGATTTATACACTTTTGCATGCGCTCAAACCAATTGTCGAAGCACTTTTTCCACTCCAATTGAGACACCTCCAAAATATGATTTTTGAACGCTTTAAGAGCATCTTCTGGCGACGAAAATCGTTGACCACGCATTTTTTTCTTGATGTGCGGGAATAAAAAAAAGTTATTGGGTGCCAAGTCAGGGCTGTACGGCGGATGACCTATCAATTCGACGTTTTGGCCGGTCAAAAAGGCGCTGGGTTGAGCCGATGTGTGATAGCTCGCGTTGTCATGGTGAATAATGATTCGTCTTCTCTTGTTCGTTTTCGAATTTCTCCGAAGACTTCAGGCAAACAAATTGTGGTTTACCACTCAGAAGTAACCGTCCTTTACAATAAAGATGATTAACTGGAATAATTTTTGGAAATAAAAATAGAGTCATCATTGCTCGATAGTACTCGTCACTAGCCGTAATGACAGCACTCTTTTCATTTCGAAAGAAATACGAGTAAGGACCGATGTTGTCCTCAACGTGTAAATCGCACCCAACAGTCAATTTTAGTGAATGTAATGGTGATTCGTTAACGAATGAGGATTATCTTCGCTTCATATACTGTAATGTTGCTTATTGACGTAGCCGTGTAACCAGAAATAAGCTTTATCACTAAAAACTATGCACTCTATGAAGTAAATTTCCACAGTTTGGAAGCGTTGTTCTAGCGTTAAACGATTCATGATGAATTCCCAAACCTAACTGAACAGAAATGTTCAGTTTGACATTTTCGGTTGCCAAACCATAGTTATCGATATCGATAACTATGGCTCTTAGCATATTTAAATATTAACAGGAAACAGAGATTCATTAAAAATTGGCTAATGAAAGTTTCTAAAAATCCTTTAAAATTTGTTCAAATATTTGAAATCGAGCAAAATTTAATTAGAGTAAAATTAAAGTATTAATTAAAGCAATTAGGGCTACTCATGTAATTGTTTGTAATTTGTTGACTTCATTAACTTACCAAGCATTTAATATACAAAAAATTAAAATATTAGGAAAAATTTTAAAAAAACTTATTAACTAAATTAAAAGCAATTAAAATAAAAGTCTTTAATAAATTAAGAAAACAAATTAAGATATTAAAATCCTACTCTCTTATTTTATTTAAAGATATTTAAATTGCTAAAAATAAGACAAGCCTGTGGCTCCAATGTCTATTAAAGTTTAGTTTGTTTGAGTTAAGTGGAATAACTAATTCCAGAAGTCTTTTAATCAGTTTGAACACATCTGCAACAACTTGAATGTGGAAAATAGTTTAAAATACAAAGGACGAGAGAAGGAATTTTAATAGTAATTATGGTACACCACATCATTGCCATGACAGCAAGTATACGTAAAGCCACTTTTGTGTTTTGTCTGCTTTCATTTGCGGAACTGAAACTATTTGCTTTGGGTTTGATAGACAGCGAGTAACCCTTATGTTAAGGACTCGGTATGCACATCAGTCCTTGTGTACTTAATCTCTTTATGGCAAGAAATCGTGTATAGAAATGTTTCTTATGTCAAGGGTTCGTAACATATGTGCTTGTATATTAAATGTATTCATTTTGAGTAATCCTTGCATGTTTCTTTAGAAAGTTTCTTTAGAAATTAAGACACCTCTGGTTTGATGTTTTGTGAATTTTTAATATATCCACTTTTGTTAGTGTAAGATGTAGCAGACAGAATGGCATAGAATTTTAAAATTTTTTATTTTAATTTTTTTATTACTTCAGTCTATTGATTCTACTTTTTATTATTGCTTCACTAAAACCATTTTAATTGTTGTAATGTATGAGCTCAATTATGCGCAAGTATAAATGTAAGTAAATGTCAGGATTGCTAAGAAATTAATTTGATACTTAAAGCTAAATTTTATATATAGCCTTTTTATAAATATTCTAACCCCGAAGTAAATATGTACATTTTCTTATGGAAAGTTTTTATTATTTATTTATTTTGTTAGAACTTCAAGCAATTTTCTGTATCAGAATAGAATACTGAAATACTGAATTGAATTTCTATACATATCTAAATCGCATACAAACTCCGCAAGCAAATTGAGCAAAACACCTTGGTTTTCATCTTGATGACAGACTAAATGGGAAACATCATGTTGAATAGAAATCTGACCAAATCAAGTACAAATGTCGACAAATGTAGTGGTTAATTGGTCATTATTCTGAGCTTAACCTATAATATAAGAGACTGATTTATCTAACTTTCATGAAACTGATTTTGTTTGGAAGTGCTCTTGGCCTTATCTTGCACTTTACACACTTGATATCCCAATAAGTAGTTCAGTCGTCACAACAACGTTTGCTAACGGTACGCCAATTTTATGCCTAAACAAAAATGTTGTGGTAGCATCAAACTAACTTCAATCAATTTCAAACTTATTTTAGGTGGAGAAATGGTTGTCAAAATGGCGAATTAAAATTAATGAACTAAAATATAAACAACTCATTTTTACCTTAAATCTGAGTACATCTCCAACAATTTTATTAAATAACATTTCCATATCATAATCAGATAATATAGCATTCTTAGGTATTCACTTAGACTGACGACTAATTTGGCGCAAGCATATTGAAGCCAAAAAAATTCAAGCCTCTAAGTTGCACTGGCTCATTAATAACAGATCCTCCCTATGCCTAGAGTATAAAGTACTCTTGTATAATAGCATCATAAAACCAATATGGACTTATGGTATCCAGCTATTCGGTAATGCTGGTGCTTCAAATATTAAAATTATCCAAAGAGCTCAGTCAAAAGTACCGAGAACAATCACTGGAGCCCCATGGCATATTAGGAGTGAAAGTATCCACCGAGATCTACAAATTCTCTTAGTTAAAGCAGAGTTTGACAATATAAGAACAAAAATATAATAAAAGGCTGATAGGAATATTAGCAAGGAATCTCGCATTTCTATCCATTACTATCCGCCTAAAAAGAGCTGACCGTCCAGCCATTAATTTTTATTCAATAACTTGAAGTAAAAACCGCACATTTCTTTTCATGTAATCTGATTAAGTTTAACTGGTTTCTTAATAAACCACCTAATATTCACTCTAATGAAATTTAATCCATTGATTTAAGTGAGGTCCATGATATAAGGTTTATTTATTTTATTTTATTTTCTTTTATACAATGTATAGTTAAAATAAAAATTGTAATATTATGTAACTAGTGACAAGATTTTACAACTTATTGTTAGTCTCATTGTAAGACAAGATATAATAAATAAATGTACAAGTATTTCAAAAAAATTTGTCCGATTTGGGTGTATGGCATACAGCTATGGGGATGTACGAAACAATCGAACATACAGCGAAGTTAAGTCCTATATCATATGTTGATATTATCAGCCATTTTGGTAAACGTTAGCGAAGAAGCCATAATTTTCAAGCTCAGTTCATTACCAATCATTTCCTGAATAATGATTTTTATCAATTTTAGTCAAAAATTTTGGACAACTTACACGAGATTCATTCTCAATAGAAATATTTTCAATCTGGAATCTTCGAAACCACTTCGATACGGTTACTAGCAAAAGTATATTCTCTATATATGTTATTTAGCAGTAATTAAATATTTTAATTTGCTTAAGATTAAGCCGAAATCTGATACTGTCCCAAATCAGCTGGCATTTTTTAATTGTCCAAAATTTATTTCGAGTTGCCAACTAAGTGAACTTTTGTTAGTTCCTCCGTATATTATTATGAAAA